GGCTGTTGTATTGGTGGTTGCGATATTGACAGTTGTATACTGATAAAGCATAGGAGATTCGACCACCCTCATTTTCATTGGCCGAGGATGTATAAGCACAAACACGGAAATTCTTGAAACAAACGAGACAAGACCACGTGTACAAAATAATATTTTGTATTAATGATTTTGGGGTTACAATCTCTCTCAAATTTGATCATCTGATTCGATCTCGGTAAGGTGTTGATTTCTGGATGTACGATTGATCCAAGGGTCGTCGAGGCTTGATGAACGATTGAAAGTTTCTTCAAGGGCCATTGGGGCTTGATCTTGACGGTTGATGAACGGATCTTCAAGGGGCTTTTGGGCTTGATCTTGAAAAACAATTGTGCGGATTTCTTCAAGGGCTTTTGGGTTTGATCTTGAAGGTTGATGGATGAACGGGTCTTCAAGGGCTTTTGGGCTTGATCTTGAAGAACTTGTGATGAACGGATCTTCAAGGGGCTTTTGGGCTTGATCTTGAAGAACAATTGATGTGTGGATTTGTTGATGTTGTTGATCAAAAGGGCCGTTGGGGCTTGATCTTAGGATGAACAGATGATGAACGATGAACACTTTCTTCAATGGTCGTCGAGGCTCGATCTTGAAGGAGGATTTGATGAAGAACGAATAGGGCTTTCTTGATCCTTCGGGATTTGCTTGAGAGCTTTAGAGTTTCAAAACTTCAAGGTTTTAGTGTGATGTGAATTGGTTATGAATTGCCCCCCCTAAAATGAATGAAATGGCCTTGTATTTATAGAATTTTTCAATGCCTAATTTTGAATATAATATTCAGATGAAATAAATCATTTCTGCCAGGTGTTGACACATGTTCTTATTTGATGACTTTTTCGATTTATTTTGATTTTTCGTTTAGTCACACGTTACGTGTAAAATTTATATAACACATGAGCGTTGAAATTGTAATTATTGGTCAACATTTATTTCACCGAAATGTCTATGTCTACAGAATTCAAGCGCAAACATTTGTTAGTATATAAGCCATGAGCTGATTACATTAGTAATAATGTCTTGTATTTACTTGTGTATTCACTTGAGTTATAAATTACCAAGTGTAGAGCTCATATTGTAATTGTCTAGTGCATTCGTCGACATGATTCCTAGTAGCAAATAAGCAAACCAAAACCATAGCAACAAATCAATAAGAACCGCGCTATGCTTTGCAAAAACGGATCTACAACTAGGGATGGGCAAATACCCATCGGTTATGGGTAACCACGGTTACCCGGTCATTTAAATTTCACGGTTACGGTTATGGGTAACCGTTTAAATAAATAAACGGTTATGGGTATAACCGTTTACCCGTGAAATTTAAATGCGGTTATAAACGGGTAACTGTTTACCCATTTATTTTATATATGTAAAATTAACACAAACTATGTTCCCTATCGAACAAAACTTTGATCAATGCTATTGGCTATAGTACATGCTTTATGTAGCTAATATAATATAGTTTTCCTTAACCACTTTAAATTTCATGGTCCATTATATATATTATGTAATACTTTACATTCCGAGTTAAATAACCCAAGAATACTGTCTTTTAACAATTTTCGTAACCCAAGAATACTTAGCAAATTTTATATTACCTTCATTGTTAACAGTTAAAAATATCGTCCGTAAACTATTATTTCAATTATTTGAATGATATAAGGACTTAAAAAATTATAACGGTGTTTGATTGTTAAAAAAAGAAAATTATGACAAATTTTTCTTTTTTAATTTTCAAGTTGTTAAAAAAACACGTAGACGGATGAAAAATGAGTAAATGGTAAAAATGAAAGGATAAACGGGTTAAAAAATGATAAATGGGTAAATGGGTATTAAATGATTACGGTTAAATGGGTACACGGTTATGGGTATGGTTAACTATTTATAAACGGTTATGGGTATGGGTATAACAGTTTAGGCAATTACCCAACGGGTAAACGGTTATACGGGTATGAAAATAAACGGTTATGGATAAATAACCGCGGTTACCCACCCGCCATAACTATTGTCCATCCCTATCTAAGACTACAACAAGCAATTTGGTAGAGCTCCGATCCTATTTGCTTTTTTCACACATTTACATATAAAAGCTTCATTCATAAATATGGAAATTAATGATAAGTGAAAAAAGGCACCACGTACATGATATGAGCAAAAAATGATGCACATTCAGAAAGACTAAATGGAATTCAAATTTATCCATCAGTGTCTAAAAGAACATGCCATGAAGAACACCAATAATCTAAGCAAAGCGATTCACACAAAAGTTATGTACAATATCATTATTCATGATTACCAAACAAAGGAAATGTTTTTCAATATCAGTCCTCACTCTACAAAAGAGTACGAGACAGTATATAGAGTTAAACGTAACCCGATTGTGGTTGCGGGTTACCTTCTTACGAATATAGTTTGGTTGTAGAATTCATACCGCATGTAGAAATATGACTCCTTAAATTAATCAGTTGCTTACAACATATAGGGTTAAACGTAACCTGCTTTTCCCTTGCTGGAGGATATTGACGTTGAATGTGAAAAGTCTATCATCTTGAGATTGACACGTGCAAAGATCGAAGCCCCTTGAAGAAACACGTGATTGATTTTTGTGAAGCGTACACACGAAATGGAAGCATTTGTCATCATTACAGTTGATTTTGCACAATTTTAGAGGTTGCGTGATAGAAATTGAAGCGACTTAACTACCCTATTTTAACGCCAAGTGTCGGATGAACACGGAAAGATAGAAAACCAAATGGTATGTATTCTAGTTTACTCTGAAAGATATGGTCTTTGGGTAACAATCCATCCTCAAGGGGAACAAGTTGCCTCACAGATGCATAGTTAGTAGCAATTATAGGACCATAATTTTCTAGAGCCGGAGTAAGGTTGATCCAAATATAGATACTTCAGAAGTCTGGTGATGGACTCACCAGATTTGAGTGGAGTTGGATCAAACGAAGCAACGGTGCCACCATCGCTCTGTTCCGGGACAATAGGCGGAGTCCTAGCGACTCCGCTAGATAACCATGCTTGTTCTGCAAGATACGCGATCTAATCCGGATATGGACACGATCAAATCCTTTAAGTCTTGCAGTTCCTACAATCTAGGAATTGGCATGCGCCTTAAGTAATCATAACTTCTAAGAGGGTGCAATATCTACTCCTAAATATCCTTTAAGATTCTCCTTGCTTATAACAAGGATTAAATTCTAAAAAGGTCTCTCTCCCCACGGTATAAATACACCCGTCTAGGGTTCATCTATGGTAACACAATCTAATCACTTGAATTCTCTTGCCCAATGCTTGAGTCTAAAACTATTCACTAACTTGATTGTCAGGGAGTTTTTGGACGGCACACATTTCCTCCCCCCGGCCCCCGATCGTAGGCTTGCTCACAGTTGTTTATTGTTTTGTAGGTATTCAAGTTCGATCACTTCCTCCACACACGGTGCTGTAGACCTGGCATTCATGTCATATTTTTTGTGTTCATGTCGTTTTCGTGTCATACCCGATATCTTAACGGGTCATGTCGTGTAATACCCATTAAAATAAACGGGTAAAATGACCCGACCCGAAATCGACCCGATAATATTAACAGGTAATATGACCCGACTCGTTATCCGTTAAGGAAAATATATTTTAAACCAATAAATAATCAAATAAAAAACATCATACTAAATAAGTATATACATATCATATTGTCACATCCAAAACATAAAAACGCGTTTTTCTTTTAAGTATATTTCACTTACCCAAAGTCTTGAATAGTTTTTTAATTAATGTAGAATTGTAAAAAAATATATATAAATGCTCGTAATGACAAGCTTTACAACTTTCATGAAGAGCTTAACTTCGAAATTCGTCACTATAATCATATAAATCATAGATCAAAATTTAACCGTTAATTGTTGTTTACATTTACGCTTCATTGTTCTCATCAAATTTTGTTTTTTCAGATTTTGTTTTTGAAAAGTTGATCTATTAGAGGAATCATGAAGATGAACGGTTTGGATCGTTGATATTATATTCAGAGTTTTACGGTTAGTGAAAATATTGCTTGATGTTTATAAAGTTTCTACAAACTATATGACATCGACTCATATTTCAGTTAACCGTAAATATCAAAACGTGATATCAAATATCTGAACCGTTCATCTTCTTACATCCGCCAGATGATCATGTTTTAGCTATTGCTATTGATGCTAGAAAATGGTTAGTCATCAAAGAACTTGTGTGGACACAGGCAGTTGAAGCGGGTAAGATGAACCATATCCTAAGAGATAGATTGGTTCACCTGTAATCGAGCTATGTCCACTGTGGTGTATTGATATTTGTGTGTGTATTACAATAGTTTTGAGTCCTTACATATGTAGGGCAGCCTATTTCTCAAGGAAGGTCATGTTTGTGGCCTCATAGCAAAGGTGATGTGGCCTCTCCCAATATATATATATATATATATATATATATATATATATCTTAGTTCCGAGTTAAAATACGAGTATAGATACTGTCGTTTGCTTAAAAAGAACAAAAAAGATAGGCATTCATGACATTTGTAAATCCAGTTGTCCTGGGTATGACTTCCATGCAAGCAAAGATAATCCAACTAAGTACTTCTTCACACACAGAAATTAATTTCACAGTTGGATTGAATTCGTAACTTCAAGTTTAGTAGATGTCAGACCAAAGTTCACCTCAGAAAACGCGATCACTTGATGCTTCATACTTCATATCCGATTTCTGGTCCAAGTCCGACATGACAAACGCTAATGAAAGCGGAAAGCCCTTGCAAGTTTGCAACCGAGTCCAAAGTCCACATTCTCTCCTTTTAATTGAGTCCAAATTCTTCAGCCCAATTCACATACAACCCAAAACCCAACCCACAAAAATTGAAAAATATTGTGGGGAAATAGGAAAGGTCCTTTCACGGTTTCCCAATTTTCCTGCAAAATTTGGATGTGCGGGAAAACATGTTTAGGGCTCACTGGTCTCACACGCAGACCCATCCCAATTTCTCTTATCATTCGCCCCACAAAACCCAAATCCCAAAAATACCCAAAAGATTTGTGGTATTTGCGAACAACGGCAGCGGGTTGGAGCAGGATTCGAATTCCAAGGAGAGGGTAGAAGAGAAAGGCAAAGATGAAGGAGCTGGATCCGACGGTGGTGGCAGTGACGATGATTTGGGCAAGAATCAACGGCCTTTATTCGGCAATATCAGATGGGGTGATCTCCTACTGGACCCAGATCCTAACGACGTCTTGGCCGTCGGATTGACTGGGCTGCTGACGTGGGCGAGTGTGCGGGTGCTGTCCATCGCATTGGCTATGCTTGTTGCTGCTGGTTAGTATTCCTTCATTGCTGCTGTTCTTCTCTTCATTCTCATTACCCTTCTTTGGCTCACTCTACTTCCAATTTTACCCCCAAACTTCTGGAAAAACAAATTAAGGGTTTTTGAACCTTAATTCTTAAAAAAGATTAAACTTTAATAAAAATCTGAAGTTAAATTACATATTCATTTTAATCCTTTAATGGGTACATAATTCAAATTTATATTGTATTTTTTTTAATATTTAATAGATATCTTATTTAACGTGGTCACATAAATTTCAAATTTGTTATTATACGTTTTTTAGTTTTTTAATTTTATTTAACTTCTTTTAATCAGCGTACCTAAACGTTTGTATCATAATTTACTGAATTAATATACTAAAATATCCGTACTTGAATATATTGTAATGAATTAGTGACACATAAGAAAATATGCGAATTAGTGGCACATAATAGATATTAGATAACTTGGATATTTCATATGTGAGTTGATGTGTTTTTGCTTGACTAGCATCTTTGGCAGTTAAACTGTTTCTAATATGTAGCTGTTGATAAATTTGGGTTTACATTCGATAGAATTATGAATTCTTGTTCTATTAAATAGGGGTTGATAGCTGATGTACAATGCCGCCTCTCAGCTGGGTTTGTACCTTTTGTGGAACTAATATACCATATTACAAAAGGAAGACATAACATTAAAAAGGAGTACAACGAAATAATATAAAACAAGCAAAAAACAACACCAAATGCATAACCTTATAGTGGACTTACGAAGTTCCTATCATCAGCTTGATGGGTTTCAACAAAAACAACCATTCATGCTTCTTTGTGATCACCACATCAGAAAGAACAACTCCCACTACCAACCCACTTCCGAGACCAGCCAAAACAAATTTCCAATCAAATTCAAACGAGCCTGAATCATTTTCTTCGGTTTTTGAAGGTGACAGGCGAGGAGCCTTGGGATCTCTGCATTTCTTTGGCAAAGGATCTCCACACAATCCAGGGTTTCCTTCATATGAACTGCTATTGAATGAAGTAAGTTGGGTTCCATGCGGTATTGGACCTGTCAAACTGTTGTTAGAGACAATGAATACTGCAAGGAATGTAAGCTGCGTGAGGCTTTGAGGGATTTGTCCTGAAAGCTTGTTGTGTGAAAGGTCCAGTGATTCAAGCCTTCTTAAATTCCCGAAAGATGATGGGATGGGACCAGTTAGGAGGTTACCAGATATATTGAATGAGATCAACCCCTCTAGGTTCCCAATAAATTCAGGAATCCTCCCTTCAAATTTGTTGCTAGAGATGTCAATCACTGCAAAGGCTTCGTGAATCTTCGGATAATATCTCTCCACACTTTTGCTAGTTATCGTGCTTGAGTAATATATATGAAAGTTCAGCCGAAGACTAGGAGCATCGATAAATGTGCGTGCCTTCATATATGTCGACTGGTTTCGAGTGACACCCCTCATGACATTCCCGGAAAAGATGTTTTGAGATGGAAACTTGCCTCTGAAACTATTAGAAGATAGATCCAGAATTCGCAACTCAGGGAAATATTCAACATTGTCCCGAGCAGGTTCCTCTATCAGACCGTAGAACGCATTCTGGTGCATTGCCAAAAGTTTAACTCTGGAAGAGCCCCCAACCAAAAGGGAAAAACATCGCTGAATTTATTGTATGACAGATCAATAAACTCAAGTCTTATGCAGTTCCCCAAAGACCTTGGTAGTTGCCCTCGCAATTGGTTATGACTAACATCAATCAACATCAGACTGCTTGTGTTGGTGTATGTTTCAGGAAGAAAGCCGCTGAAAGAGTTGTTTCCAATTCTTAAAACTCGCAGATCAGCGCTGAAGTTTCCGAGACAGGGGGGAAGCATTCCACTCATATTGTTGTTGGAGAGATCAAGGTGCTGAAGAGAAGTCAGACTACAGATCAGTGGTGAAATTGTTCCATTTAGATTGTTGTTTGCAACATGATAGCGAACTGTGTGTGGTGGAGGCATCAGTAGCGGCCCATGTAGCATGTTATGCTGGAGCTCTAAAACTTGTAGATTAACCCAAGGAAAGGCATTTGAATGCTGGACAATGCTTGAAAGGGAGTTGTGAGAAATGTCCATGAACGTCAAAGTCTTTGTGCTTGTGTTCAACATCCATTTTGGCACTTCACCATGCAAATGGTTGTTGGAAAGGTCCAAGTACACCAATCCTTCTTGATACTGCAGGAAACTTGGGAACTCTCTTATGTTGCACGAACCCAATCCTAGAAAGTTTAACTTTGGAAGTAGGCTTGCATTCATACTTTCTGTTTCTGTCAAAATTTTCAAACTGTTACGAGATAGTTTTAATTCGGTGAGCCCTTGTAACTTATGAAACATGTGGAACTCCACTGTACCAGTCAGATTATTATCAGTTAGATCTAACGCCTCGAGATTGATGAGATCGAATAAGGAATTAGGAATTGGACCGGTTAACTGATTCGAAGACAGAGAAAGTTTGGAGAGGTGGGTGAGATTTCCTAGAGAAGGAATTTGACCGGTTAATTGATTCGAAGACAGCGAAAGTTTTGTGAGGTGGGTTAGATTTCCTAGAGAAGGAATTTGACCAGTTATCTGATTCGAAGACAACAAAAGTTTTGTGAGGTGGGTGAGATTTCCTAAAGAATGAATTGGACCAGTTAACTTATTTGAAAATAGAGAAAGTTTTGTGAGGTGGGTGAGATTTCCTAGAGAAGAAATTGGACCGGTTAACTGATTCGAAGACAGAGAAAGTTTCGTGAGGTGGGTGAGATTTTCTAGAGAAGGAATTGGACCGGTTAACTGATTTGAAGACAGAGAAAGTATTGTGAGGTGGATGAAATTTCCTAGAGAAGGAATTGGACCAGTTAACTGATTTGAAGATAGAAATAGTTTTGTGAGGTGGGTAAGATTTCCTAGAAAAGGAATTGGACCTGTTAACTGATTCGAAGACATAGAAAGTACTGTGAGGTGGATGAGATTTCGTAGAGAAGGAATTTGACCGGTTAACTGATTCGAAGATAGAGAAAGTTTCGTGAGGTGGGTGAGATTTCTTAGAGAAGGAATTGGACCGGTTAACTGATTTGAAGACAGAGAAAGTTTTGTGAGGTGAGTGAGATTTTCTAGAGAAGGAATTGGACCGGTTAACTGATTTGAAGACAGAGAAAGGACTGTGAGGTGGATGAGATTTCCCAGAGAAGGAATTGGACTAGTTAACTGATTCGAAGATAGAAATAGTTTTGTGAGGTGGGTGAGATTTCCTAGAGAAGGAATTGGACCAGTTAAATGATTCAAAGACAGATCAAGGGACGACAATTTGGTCAACTGTGAAATTTGGTATGGGATTTGGCCAGAAAATAAAGAATCAGAGAGATTAAGATAGATGAGCCTTGGCAAATTCCTAATGCTAGTAGGAATTCGAGAGGAGCTGAAGTTGTTACCAGCAAGGTTCAGCACTTGAAGCTGATCAAGCCGGAAAAGGCTGCTGTTGGAGTTGATAGGGCCCAGGAGACAGCTGCTACTAAGATCAAGGCCAATCACATGACCCGTCCTCTCGTCACACACAATGCCATCCCATGCACAGCAGTTGCCATTTTGTCCCTCAGCTAGTTTCCATTGCAAAATCTTTGGATAAGCGTCATCAGAATACAAGGCAGATCTGTTAATGATGAAGCTTTCCTTGAATTGCAGCAAGGCAGACCTCTCCTCGTCACGACAAGATTGCTGCAATGAGGAAACTGATGAGCTAACAACCATGAGATGAAACAACACAACTTTTGAAAGTATATAACACATATTGGACACAAACAAGCACCGGCGGGATCCCATTGTGTTTTGTTCTGCACTCTTTGATATTAGCAATTTAGCATGGGAGAGAGGTTGAAAGAGAGGTTATTTATAGACTGGTGGTAGGGGTTCCGCACCTTAGTGTGTAAAACTTTTCTAACATGAAATGTGTATCACGATTAGTAGGGTCCATTGTTTTTCCACTATCTACTACGTTGAGAAAAAAAGTTTGTACACAAGATGTAAATAAATAATTCACTTGAAAGTTTAAGTGGTATTGGCGGACATGCTTTTAAGTTCAAGGGGTAATTGCGCAAAATTCACTAAATAAAATTGATGGATATTTTTTATAAACCACCCATTAAACTTTGAGTTTTGACCCTCTTCCCCTTTTTCTAGCGGCTCGTCTCTTCTTCGAATGGGACTCTTGTCCGTGTGAATTAACCATACGATAACTCCGTAATAGGGGTTGACAATTGACTTGACTTGGGGAGGAGGAGCCGTTTGGCTGCTTCTTTGCTCCTCTGTGTTCAACTTCAGAATGCTTGCGTTCACTTCTATATATGGAAGCACTTTAGTTAGTCATCTTCATCCATTAGCTAACATGTAATTGAAGAAAGTTGAAGTTCCACTATAAAACCAATTGGTAATAAGGGGAGTAGCCTAACCTCTTATAAGCTTATGCAAGGTCCTTCCTCCCAATAATGTGGAAAATCATTCTCAACATGCCTCCTCACGTATGACGAATTTCAAGCCTAATGCGTAGACAACAGAACCGGATGACGTGAAGCGCGTGTGGCCGTTTGACTTCACATGTGGAATAACCTGCTCTGATACCATGAAGAAAGTTGAAGTTCCACTATAAAACCAATTGCCAATATAGGGAGTAACCTCCTCCCATCAATATGAGACTCGTTCTCAATAGTAATTACTACAAAATGAAGACATCGTTTTCTTTAAACATAGCTGCACCATCTTTCAAACATAGTTGCTGCTTTTGACATATAGTTAAGCATAGCTGCTGTGCAGCATCCTTAGATTCCTTCCATAACTGTTGCCTCACGAGGATTTTCACACGGAGGAGGGACCAACGAGTTTTGTTGCTTCTGCTTTCTGTTTCCTTTTGAATTTCAGAAAAGCCTTTTACATGGATTAGAATCCCACTCCAATGCTTTTTCTTTTTCTTTTAAATTCAATGAACTATTTTGAAATCCCATACAAATGCATCTTTTTGGGATGGAATCCACAAATGCATTTTTTGGGATGGATGAGTTTCACCTTTTTGGGATGGAATCCCATACAAATGCATCTTTTTCTTTCACCAAGAGTTTTAATGCTTTTAACCACCTTGGCAGCGCATCTGTGAAATTTGGTCCCGGAATTTCGTTATTTAATTACGTATCTAATTTTTTTAATTTTGTATTTCGTATTTATGTTATTTTAATTTTAATTTCCGTTAAATTTAGATTTTGAATCGTATAGTTAAAAGGTATGAATTTTCGTAATTAATCTTTTAAAATCTGTATACGTTTCGAGGTCACAATTAATATTTTTGAATAGAGCTCGATTCCACAAGCGCATAGCCAAAAGGCGTTTGTGAATCGAAGATATAACGAAAAGTTACGTTGAAGTCAAATATAAATAGTAATTTAAGAATTTCTATAAATGGGATTGGAAATGACCAATCAGAGAGGGGATGGTCCTATTTATTAGGGGAAAGAACCAATGAGAAGGGGAAGAGTAGCCCAGTCGGCGGATCCCACATTATCCACGTGCAACCTAGTCTCTGACCCGGTTCTTGCACCAAATTTCCAACCCTATTTCGGTGAACCAAGATGGCCCACTACCAACAAACGGCTTAGCGGCTTACCATCTTGCAATTCCACATCAACTCATGTCGATTTGGCCCTGGTTCACGATGAACAGAGTTATTGGGCTTCCACGAGCGCACGGCGATGATCTCACCGTTGCCATGACTTTCGTCGTCATCCACCACCATCATCTAACTCATCTCGACGTCAGAAGCAAGACTCAAGCAAGGATCGAAGCATTGGAGGTCAGGGGACGTCAAATCGAAGATCACACATTTCTAGGGTTTCTGATGAACTATGTTGGAATTCAGGTGTTTCCCAGCCGAATTGGACCTCGTCCCAGGTATGAAATTCATCCTTGTGACTTATTGTACCAGCCTGTGCAATTTGGGGATGATCAGAGATAGTCGGAAACTCAGGTTTTCGTTCACCGAAACCACTAAGCGTGACAACACGTGGGGGACTTTGGTGTATTGGATTTTTGGACAACCAGACGTCCTCAATGTCTTGGGTTTGGTTCTAAGTCCATTTGTTGAATATTATACGATGGTTCGATTATTTTGATGCAAGGGAAATCGTACCGCCATTCAAATTTCGTTGTTGATGTCGATCTGACCCTTGAATTGCTATGAAATTTAAATATGTTATCATGTGTAGTATATGAGGACCATAGAGACTTTGATGGTCTTGTGTTGTAAAGAAACGAGTCAAAACCTTCATGTCTCCCGTTTTTTAGTTAACGAGAACTATGCCCAAAGTATCACGGAGGAAAAGCAAGTCTTATGGAATGCTTTGTTCTTCTTCCAACAGCTCATCGATGCTTGGTTTGGTGTTATGTTAAGTGTTTCTAGTGCTGATGAGATGCTTCCCTAGGTGCTAAGTGTTTCCCTGGGCGCTGATGAGTGTTTCCATAGGCGCTGACGAGTGTTTTCCCTTGGTGTTGATGAAGTGTTTTCCTCGACGTTGACGAGTGTTTCCCTAGGTGATGATGGGTGTTTTCTGCCCTGATTCTGGGGGATTTGAGGAGTATTTGTTAAACTAACAAACATAGGAAACAGCTGAGTAATCACAATAAGTTATGACTTGCACAAATGATGCATGGTGTGGAAGCTAATAGCTCAATAGTTTGGCATGAGAGAGAGGTTGTTCTTGGCTGTATGGTATCGAAGTAGCTAATCTAGGGTTTCTAATGGTTTGGTGGTCTTACAGGAGTTAAAGAAGATTATTGGAAGGCTGAGGATGAAATGAAGAATTCTCTATAAAGAATTAGTGTTTCCTACACTTTGAGGAAGCTTGCTCTGCATGGTGCATTATTTCCCTTGTTGTTCTTCTTCCATCACGTGGTTCTGTCTTTCTCCCCTTTACAACGTGATGTATTGTATTTATAGAAATATGGATCCTTCTAGGCTCCAACTGGAGAACTCTTAGTTTCTTCACCTCTTCTAAATCAACCAAGTATTCCTTCATCTTTCCATGGCTGCAGCTACAAGTTTTCTTTTTGGTATAACATTGCAGGGACTAGCAGCCCCGTGAAGCCTATTTGAGCACACTTGTCCAAAGTTTCTCCTTTTCTAGACCAAGTCTCATAACACATTTCATAGACCAAGTCCCACAACATGAATCCATCTTTAGTAACGATTCCTTTCTGCACAATAAAGGATTCCTTTTCCTATGTGAAAGATGAAGTCTTCCTTTTCCTATGTGAGCTTGGAAATAAAGGATTCCTTTCTGCACAATAAAAAGGGTTTGCAACTCTAGATAAGCATGTGATTTGGTTAGCATGGCTTTGGGTTTTGGTTATTTCTTAAGTACTCTAGTTGGTTTGTAAAGGAAAAGGTATGGCTAAAGCTGTTCTCTCTCAAGCCTTCCCACGTGAAGCCAAAATCATGGGCTTGGGCATTTGGTGCTCCCAAGTAGCCAAAAAGTCTTCCATAATTTTGATTCAACGTAGGCCCAATGAACTTCTGTAACCATCCACACCACAAACCACTCGATAAGCCCTGTTAAGTGGCTTGGGCTTATTTAAGTAGGGCATGACTCGTATTCTAATATTAATGAATTAATATACAATACGGCTTAGCATGATAAATATGAAGTCCAATAAACTATTATTTTATTAACGTGGCATGATCGTAAATTTGCTTACTCTTCATTTTGTATTTATGCATGAATCTAAGCTTGGCTTGTGACGCTTCCACAACGATTGGGTTTTGAGACATGCTTAGGCTTGTAGGTGACATTTTTGGGCCCCAACATTAGCCCCTTAGAATATTTGGGCTATGAAAGAATTGAATTAGGCCATGAAAGAATTGCAAACCCTGGCCCAAAACTCCAAAGCATGTTCTGCTCGGTAGGACTCTTTTGTTGCGTGCAAACTGACGATAGCATGATGATCTCTTTCATAGTTTCCCGTGCTTAGCTTATTATCCTAGTGAAACTTTGGGTATCCCTGTTGATTGATATGTAGCAGTTTATGTTCTTCTTTTCTTAAGGTAGATCCCCGTTCTTTCCCAACTTCCTCTTCTTTCCCAACTTCCTCTTGTTGGTTTCCTTAGGGAAATTAGGCTTGTGCTTCCTGCAGTGGAGTTTGTATAGGTATAATGACTAGCTCGGCATGATTGTAGTTAGCTTGACATGATTAATTCTTCATGTGTTTATTAGCTTGCTTTTGACAAGGCCATCCGTAAGGCATGCTTCATGTTCCCTTCAATGGTTGTTTAAGTGCTTATGGACATGGCAGGAAATGAGAATTATAGGATGGATGCATGGAAGTTCCCTCGATACCATCTTTGTAGGCATGGCACTCTAGCAAAAGTCAGTAGAACTTTCACGCTATAACAATTTCCTCCCTTCTGTGCTTGGTTGTCATAAAATCCTTGGCATGTCAAGCTTTGGCTATAGTAAAGCAAGTTTGGGTCATAACGATCAAGTTTGCTCATGCAAAAAGTTTACATTGTTATTGTAAATATTTGCTTGGACTATCTTAGGAAAGCATAATTTTGAATTTTGAATATGATTTCTGGTGAAAATGGTAGGTCGAAAAGGTAGTCACATAAAGTAACTGGTGGAAATGGTTGTTTTAGATATGAAGGCATGAGGCTGCTTAGCATGTAAAATGAGTGGAATCAGTTGGATAGGGAAACAACTAAATATAGGCAGGGAAATGACAGTTATAGTAAACAATCGACATATGAGTTCACTACATCACGTACCAAGTGGGCATGGTAAGCATTGAAACCATGAAATAAAAATGTGTGATCATCTATAGAGTGAACAATGCAAGTCTTAATTATTCAACGATAATTAGACATGATAAGTATGCGTGGAGAATGAATTTACGCAGGCTTCTACATTTTCTTGACAAAACAAACTAATACACTATGTTGATGCACAAAATCAGTGAGGACTTTGGTACAACAGAAAGTGTCAAGT